AAAAATAAAAATATATTAATTTATAAAAATAATTAACTTCTTTAACTACCAAAGGTATTATATTTATATAATATATAAGTTCATAAATAAGTCAAATAAATTGTAAATTAAAAAATGATAAATTATAAAGAAAAAAAATATTAATTTATAAACCTTTTTGCTCTTGGCTCCCACTTGGCTCCCTCTAGAAAAAAAGCCAACAAATATGAATATTAAACAAAAGCAAATAACAGTATGTAAACAATTTGGACCATTAAATAAGTAAATATTTCTAGTTCAAGGAAATAATAGCATGCAAATAACTCTTTAACTCTTTTCTTGACAGGTGTACTAAAAGTTCAAGATTACATATTTGCAGTTTGGGATGGATGAGGAATGCAAAAGCAGGAAATAATGAAGCAATGAAAAGGCGAGCAATGCTGAATACAACCGTGAAACTTTTTTTTTTTCCACAAATAAACTATTATATTATAGAGAAATAAACTCATCCATTATTACAACACAAATAAACAGATCCTAAACAGTAGAACCTACAGAAAATCCTCGAAATAACATACAAGAAAACTGCATAAGAAAACATAGAACAGTTTTTGGAGAAAAAGTTAGCTCAGCCCGAGGCCTGGAGAGTAAGAGGGAAGATGGAAACTCAGCCATAAGCTCAAGGGCTCATCATCTTGTCATGGGAGCTTCCTTTAAGCTTGTACGTCAATACCTTATCCTTCACTTGGGTTGTAATTCTAAAGCAGAGAGGACAAATTGGAGATTAACTATGGAGGGATTACTGCACCATTGTGGCAATCCACATCCTTGAGATGAGATAGACAAACAAAAAAGACTTGAAAACCACTTAAGAAAAAAACGGGGTGAAGTTTGAAACTCCAGGTCTGTGTGAGTATGGAGATTCCACTTAAACCAGCACCATAGCCAAACACCTACCACATGTTCTGTATATAAATACTAAGATCATATGCGAACATGATAGAAAAACAATATTACCATCCCTAAAGCAGCTCCCACACCACTTCTTTTATAGTCATCAGCCAAAGTCCAAAGACTAACTTAAGAGATTCAATGTAAGCTGAATGAGACACATAAATAGTTATATGCTTCTAATGATGATTTAATTTATAAACAGATTGTGTTATGCATGATCTCATATATATGTAGGTGAGTGTTTTGTTTTGGTTTAACATGTTATGGATCTACTGAGAATAGTGGACCTCTGCGCATGCAATAGGGATGTACTAAGACTAGCTTCAATACAAGAGTGTATTCACACACACATATTCAGTTATAGCTTCAAGCCAAGCTCACAGTTGTGTTTATCATCTCATTTCAGATCAGACTAGCTAGCTTAATAGGTGCTATGACAAGAACAAGGAAGATGGTATTCACAAATCAAAGCAGCAACCAGACTGTATTAATGAGATAATGAAAATGGTCAAGTCTTTTGACAATGCTGATGAAAGTTGTAAAATAAAAGCAAAAATGGTTGACTGCCAGATGCAGGAGGATATTGCAAACCACAGAAACTAAACAAGGAAAACAAATAATATAGCAAAAAAATGCTATTTCAAGACCACACATCAAAATTTAATTACATAAAGCAAAATTTACCAAGAAAGTAGATAAGCAAATTAATTACCTTAACATAGTGGATCTGTTTATATGCTTCTAATGATGATTTAATGCTTAACATATAATGCTTAACAGAATTGTAGCAACACTACAATTAATATCTAAGGCATGGAACAAGGAACCATGTGCTACCAAAGCAATTGCCTGAACCTAGTGGGCACCTACACCTGTGAACCTGAGAGTGGGGTAACAAATCAAAGAAATTCATATACATAAAATGGCAGGAGACACCTTGACGTGACTTCACTCAACAAATAACTTAGTGCAACTTGTGTGCCAGAAAAAAAGGTCTTTAGCAGATAAACAAATCAGGAAATCTACAAAAACAGCATCAACTAAAGCTCCAAAAATAAAAAAGAAAAAAAAGAAAAAAAAGAAAGCCTTACATGGGAGAGGCAACAAGAAAGACAGAAGATGAAACAAAAATTAAAGAAGCCTCATATACATCATCTACACACAGCTATGTCTAAATGAATGCATCCATTGTTTTATTTAAAACTCCATGTTCCATTTTCCACTAAAGGGTGAAGGCAATGTTATGCAATTCTGGCTATACCATGTATATAATGCAGAAAATTAGAAATTTATGTTGGTAATCTAGAGGTCTCTTAATTGGAAATAATTGATGATGATTAAAAGTCAAAACAAGAATAAATGGAACAAAATTCTCATGAAGCATATATAAAGAAGCTACTTACAAGTCAAAATGCTGCCAGGTATGTTTGCAGACACTAACAATCATATACCTTCATCAAGATAAATCCAATAAACGGGATTCACTGTAATGTTTGAAAGGAATGAAATTCTAAATTTCAATTTCAATTACAAGACAGCAGATACCTTGCACACACTCACTACTCACTACTGCCGAAACACTAGACAGCAAAATTTCAGCAACTTAACAAATATAAATCTAAACAATCACTTGCAGAAAACAAAGAACCCATCATTTTCCATAGACCAAAAATTCTAAAATTCAAATCCAGCAATAACCCATCATTTTCCAGCCAACAAGAAGCTATCAAAATGAAAAGACAACTCCAAATTTGAAAAAACCTTAGAGAAAACAGATTTGAATTTGCAAAGAACACAGAAATTTCGTTCCCAAATTTGAATAGCATATAAAAAATCCCAAAGATCGATAGCTAAGAAGAAACTAGGTGCTATTCCTCTATTTAAAGATAAAGGTTACAGCCTTACCGGAATGAGCAGCTCAAGATCGGAGAAGAAGAACAGAGGAATCGCAGGATTGCTACAGGTGAGAAGAAAGGGGATAGATCTGAGTTTTAATAGGTAACGAAGAAATGGAAAAGCAAAGTTGGATCTGAGACATACCGAACGCTCGACGAAGTGAACATCGACGGAGTGGCACCGACAACGGCAACTGACCGACGAGATCACGAGCATTGGAAGGCCAATTGCGATGACAGTGGAAGGAAGTGAAGGGCAAGAGAGAGATTTTGGTTTTAAGTTGGTCAAAAATTAAATCCCATCCCCGCTATATCTCAAGGGTTACATCGGATAAATTTCATTACCGCAGGTTGGGATTGAACAAAACATGGGTTATGTTTTATCCAATCCGTCGGCATCCCAAAACACGGTTATGGCCAGTCAAGATTAATTTTTAGCCAATCCTACAATTAATCCAACGTTCCAAACGTCCTGTAGGTTTCTATATTTTTGCAATCTTGTCCCCACACAATAAAACATGCGATTTTAAACATTTTCTATTAGGAAAAATTCTATATTAAGTCTCTAAACTTATCTTTTATTTCAAATTAAACTCTTAAATTTTTATTGAAGTAAATAAGTTCTTGAACTTAATGATTTAAGCAATTTAACCATTTTCTTTGTAGCAAACTTTATTTGTGCTTTATTTGAGTAGAAAACGTTAATATATATTATGTGGGTAATGACATGTCAATACCTTATCCATCAAACCAATAGACAAACGGGCTCTAAAGAAAAAAAAGGTTAAATTATCTAAATTTTCAAGTTTAAGAATTTATTTACTTTAATAAAAATTTAAGAACTTAATAAAAAATTTAGGGTAAGTTTAAAGGTTTAACATAGGATTTTGCCTTTCTATTAAGTACAAAATGTCAAAAATTCAAATTAATCTTGATTTACCTCAAATTTCTTTTATTTAATTTTCCACGTGAAAACAAAGCTCAGAATTTTGAAAATTTCGTTTAAAACTTGAGAATTTGAAGGAAATTAATATTTTTAAAAAATTAAAATTTTTGGAAAAATTAGTTCAATTGGATAGGTAAAAATCAGGTCATGACACTTATCATATATAGTTTTGACTAGAAATGTTCATCTTAATAGATTTTACTTTTCTTATTTCTTTTATTTTTAGATTAGAGAAATCTAGTGTCTTAATATGGGTTTTTTAATGCAGAGTGTTGCACAATTTTTTTGAAAAATTTTTGAAAACGATTATTTGTTTGTTTTTTTTGTTTGAAAGACTCAAAGATAATGACCTTGTAATTTTAATGGTAAATTATGATCATTTTAAAGTTTAGGCATAATGAATTAAGGATATTTATCAGTTGGTGGCTCTATTAAGTGTTTAATATAGGATCCGTTTGGTATAATGGTTTAGGGGGGTAACCGTTAATGATTTTATCCAAACTATTAAGAATAAATATTTAGTAAACTTAATTATAACAAATAAGTTATTTAGTAAGATTTTTTATTTAATGGTTTGGGACAACAAATAGTGATTAGGGTTTAAACCATTAGTGGATTGAAAATTTTTAATTTTATTGACAAATTTATTTATTTTAATTTTGTGGTAATCTGAGGACAATTTTTTTGTACCACAATTTTATACAACTGTCATATGTCATTAAATGAGTAGATACACTCAATATCATGAGTCCCAAATGAATAAAAATAATTAATTATTTAAATGATATGTAAGTTTACACTAAAAGGTAATACAAAAAGATTATTTTTGAATTATTTTCTTTAATTTTTTAATTTTAGCCATGGTTTTAAATTAGTACTTATCTAATTAATTTCATTTTTTATCTTTAATAACGTTAAGTGATTATTATATTTTTATTTTTACATTAATTTATTATAAAAATAAACTAGCTTAATAAATGAAATTTGCAAATTAAAGGAAAAGATTAATTTTTTTTGTACTTTAGTTAAAAATACTATAAATTTTTATTTATTAAAAACAAAATTCAATGTGTGATTGCATTATTATAATTTATTTTATTTATTTATTTTCTTATTATTATTTTTATAAAATTAATAATTTTAATAATAAAAAATATAAAAAATACATTTAATTATTTTTCAATATATCTTTATTAGTTATTTAACATTGAATAATAATTGTTAATTATTATATAATCAAGAAATTATATTAATCGAATCCGTTATTTACTATCCATCACTTACTATCTACTAATTGCCATCTACTATTTACTATTTATTAAATTTTAACGATTATACCAAATAAATCTATGGTTTGTATTATTTTTGGGTATCCCTAGCCTTCATCATAAAAAAAGGTTTATCGAAGACAATTTTAGTAGAAGAATGTAGACCACAATTACAATAGTTTGTTTGTATAGAAGAATGTAGGCCAACGAGTTTTGCTAATATACATCCTTTTTTTTGGTAATAGCTAATATACATCCTTGTTCTAAAATATATGGGTTTAAGGAAATGTTAGAAACAGATGTTGTGACAGAAAAATGTTGTGGCAGAAAAATTGTCTAATACGCATATGAACTTGTTGCGAAATATATGTACTTAAAAAAACATGGCAAAAATGGATGTTGTCTAGGCGATGACATTCTCAGTTATTTTAGCCTTTTCTTTTATCTTTTCCTTATTCGGCGTTGGCTCATTCTTCAACCTGGATATTCACGCGGAGTAGTTTTTAGGGTAAAACCTTAGATTTGGTCGCTAAACGTTGGTACAACTTCTGATTTGATCCTTGAATTTAAAAAATCCCTACTTTAGTTCATAGTTTGAAGGTTAAATGCTAAATTTAGTTTCCTAATTTTAAAGTTTTGCATAAATTTTGTCTTTTAACTTTTTATACACTTTTTTAGTCCCTCTATGAAAGATGTGCCTTTTTAGTATTTCGTCAATTAATTTATTAAATTTATCTAAATATTTACATTTTTTGTCTTTAAACTTTTAAGTTAAAGGATAAAAAATGTGCATATATTATAAGTTGAGAGATTTAAAATGTGTATATTTAGACAAATTAAACAAATTAATTGATAGAATAACTAAAAAAGTATATTTTTTTTAGTTGAGAGACCAAAAAAGTATATAAAAAAGGTTGAGGGGCAAAAGTTATGTAAAATCCTAAAATTAGGGATTAAAATTGATTATTAATCTAGTTTGAAATTTTAACTCTTTTTTTGTTTGAACATCAATATATAATTCTTCATTCATTCATCATTTAACATCATTGCATCAATACATAATATATTTCTCAATACATGAGGTGGATAATGAGTCCAATATAAAAAGCACTTGTCAACAAGCATCGCCTTAGCAAGCCAATCTGCTACCTGATTTGCTTCTTGAAATATGAACAAAAGTCCAAGAAGTACTCTGTTGTCAATCTCTATATATCTTGCATCACAACATTAATTTGCCATGGTACCTTATTTTCTTGTTTACTATATTTATTAGTTTTAGACAATTTGATTAAAAAATAACATGATGCAACCTCAAAGACGTTGCTTTCCCAACTACCAATTGTAGTGCAAGACATTCTGCAACAAGGATGACGGTGTTGGAGTTGTGGTGTGCAAGTTGCAAAAGTAGTAGCAAATGAAAATGAAAGTTGCAAAAGTAGTAGTAAATGAAAATAAAAGCTGCACATGTGGCAGCAAATGAAAATGAAAGGCTGCACATGTGGCAGCAAATGAAAATGAAAGGCTGCACAAAATGGTAGCACATGAAGAAGGGAGAGTTGCACCAATAGCACGGTAGCAGCAAAGTGCAACAAGCTAAGCTACAAATCTAATGAAAATGAAGCTATCAAATGACAGCAAAAATGTGTAGCAAGCTAAGCTGCAAATGTTGATGAAATGAGGCTACAATGAATAGCAAATTAAATGTGAATGCAAATGCAAATGCAAATGAAAGGCTGCAAAAAGGCTATAGAGTTGCCAAGAGGCTATAGAGTTGCCAAGAGGCTGTAGAGTTGCAAAGAGGCTACAGAGCTGCCAAAGGACACAGTAATGTGACAGAAATGGCTGTTACATATTTCAAATTTCAAATATATTTTATTGTTGTTTTTTTAATGTAAAATAGTTGTTTGATTTTTGAATTTTAAATTGAGTTTGTATTCTCCTATAAATAGGAGTAAAAGGAATGAGAAAAATTGAGTTGGAGTGATATACTCCTCTCTATTTTATGTGTTCTGCTCTTCATCTTCTTCTCCCAAAATCCTCTCCATTCTCTTTGATAAAAAACCTGAACAGAAGGAGGCTTTTCGCTTTAGGCTCTCACCATCAACTAACTAACAAATCTCTACAAATCCACCCTAGGATTGAAAAAGTGGTATTTGTATTGATCTCAAACCAAATGAGGATGAGGCTTTCATCACACCATATCAAAATTAACTGAATGGCCCTACAATTGTCCGCCCAATGGAATGATAGAGTCATATGAAGTAACCCTACTATATTTAGCCACTATTTGTTGTGCTTGATGAACAATTAATGCAAGTGGACTAGGGGTATGTTAAAAAATTCCTCTATTTCTCCCCTTTCAAAATATACTAACAAAGACATGCAATTTCTTCCAAAATATTTGAAACTAGAGGCTTGCATAATGTTGTACTATAGCCCACCCACCAACTAAAAAAATTAGAAAGAATGGATGGATCTGGTCTATAACTCAAGTTAGATCAAAACCAAACACATCTAGCAATAGGGTAGAAGAAGAGTATATGCAATATTGCTTCTTCCCCACCATTTTATAAAGTACATTGAGAATCATCCACAATATTTCTAGCAAACAAGTTTTGCCTAGTGGGAAGAGCATTATTTGCTATCTTTCAAACAAAAAATCTCACCTTAGGTGGCACTCACAAGTTCCTTATAGATTTCTAGAAAAAGGAGGGGTTATGCACATGGTTTAAAGAGGAATGTTAGTTAAAAACCCTTTGTCCTGCCACATGGCAGGTAGAGTGCACTATGAAATTGCCATCCTTCATGAAATGGCATACAAGTATATCATGTGCACTTTCAACTAGTATCTGCATAATTTGCTTAATGTCAACTTGATTAAACAATGAGTCTAAAAAAGATATATTCCAACCCTCATATGAGTTTCCTAGACCACACATCCTTATATTTGCAATATAAGAAGGTCGTGGTGTTGAGACTTAAATTTGGAGCACTAGGAATCCATTTGTCTTTCCACACAAAAACATGATATCCTTTACCCACGTCTGACTCCTAAATCTAGCAATTTATTGCCTTGCCATAAACTTTACTACAACCACAAGGAGGATGTGCCCTTTTGTACTTGGAGTACTTGGAAAAAATCACAAAATGGGAAATTTTAAGGATTCATTACCATAAGGCATTAGGATTATTCATTAATCTCCATCCTTGCTTAGCTAAAAAAGCTAAGTTAAAAACCTCTAGGTCTTTAAATCCTAAACCCCATGTATTTTACTTGTAGTTAGTTGGTTCCAATTCACCTAATGAACCTTATGCTCTTCTCTTGTTGCCTCCACCAGAATTTACTTAACATACTATTAATCTTGTGACAAATAGCTTTAGGAAAGTTAAAACATTGCATAGTCTAAGTTGAAACAACTTGAATAGCAACTTTTAAAATACCTTTTTACCATTAAGAGATAAAAGCAAACATTTCCATCTCTAGACTTTTTGTTGCACTCTATCAACAACAAGCTACAAACTTTGCTCTTTTGATTGTCCCTAGTTGGAAGGTAGCCACAAATACTTGTCAAAAGGAGAGTCTTTATGAATAGAAAAACATGAGCAAATATAATCCTTCAATTGTAAGGGGGTATTCTTGCTAAAAATAGTAGCAAATTTAGCATTATTAATTGTTTGACCTGAAGAAGCACCATATTGAAGGAGGATTGATTTGATAGCCTTCGCCTACTCGATTGATGTTGCTCACAGTAGGGCATCTTCTATTTATTTTGTATAATTTCATTATGGTTGCTTGCACTACATTAGATTGTAGCTATGGCAATACATTAGCAACAAAAATATATAATTGGGAGATAAAAGATCTCTTTGTCATAACCCTTTTTTAAGATAGAAAACTCCAATAGGCTTACCATTAACTATAATAGAAAAAGAAACAGCTTTTACACATTATGTAATTCTTTGGGCCTAGAAAACATCAAACACTATCTTTAATAGCATATGTTCCAAAAAAGACCATGATACTGTATCATAAGCCTTTTTCACATCCATCTTCAATGCCATTGCAAATTTGGAAGCACTCTTTTGATGCTTGAATGCATGGAAATTTCATGGGCCACCCTTATGTTATATTGAATCATTTTTCTAGGTACAAAGGTTGACTACTTCAT